TTCTTGGGTGTCACGTTTTTCCAGCTTCTGTTTGTAGTAAGAGGATATTTCTTTTACTTTTTGAATTTGACAGAAGATGGTTTAAGTCCTTAAACCTCAGAGAATGAGTTTGAAAGGGTCATCAGACACCACAAGATAATTTCACAAACACTGGCAAGGCTATCACTGGGTGAACATAACTCACCTTTCACAGGTTGGAGATAACTCATGGGGGTTTTTAACTGATATAAAGTGCTCAATAGCACTATGAACATTAGTATTCATTTGTATTTCAAGTATATTTCACTTTATCCAATCTGACCATCTTAGAGGGTTTTTTTTTTCACACAGAGTCATCCCAAATTCCTGCTTTTTGTTATCAGTGAGGGAAAAGCATATGAAGTGCCTAGGAAAGGCTGTCTCTAACAGACAGTCCAGAAACTTTCATCCCTGCAAATGCTCTTAATTGCTAGAGGGCAAAGGGCTCTCCCTACTCATTATATTTATGGCCTGCAAGGATATCTGTGGGATACCTGGTGCACCTGGAGTTATCCAGCTTTACGGCCATAAAGGAGATCATAAAGCTGTGCAGCAACAACAAAATAAAATCAAAACACTCAGGATAAAACCCGTATTCTGATATTGAGAAGGACAACCATTAGCTGTCCTTTTTGTCAAGTGCAGTGAGGTGCAAGTGGTGAAAAGGACACTGCTGACACTACAATGATGTGTCATTTTTGTCACTGAGACAGAGAAATGTTGTGACTATGACTGCACAGTTTGCTCCTTTTTCTCAAGAACAGAGCTCATGCTGAAGTGGGAAAGTGGAAATGTACCAAAAAGAGTAGTTTATAAAGTACAACATTGATTCAAATCTTTTCCAGAAGTCTGGAAACCAGTGAAGCTGGTTTTGAGTCTGGCCTATCCAGGTTCTTGTGTTGTTTTTATCACTAACTACAGAGATGCCCTTTGGTAATACATTATTCACTGTGTGGCAACTCTGCCAGACGTCAGTTGTTACCTCACTAAATTCTTTTTCAGCTCACAGAAGTGAGACAATTTTGCTTGCAAGGATACTGGACAATAACAAGGCTGAGTTTGAAAAGAAACCTATAAAATGTGTTATGTTTTCCCCAAATTTTCTGTAGTTGTCTGGAGATAGCAATGCAAGGACAATGCTGTGCATTCTGCCCTACCTGAAACTCCTTTTGGAACTGTTACCTCCTGGGATGTCATCTGCTCTGCACACTTTGATCCAACCACTTCTGTTTAAATAGATCAAAGGTTTTTGTAAAAACTAACTCAGTACATCACCCCAGGAAGTGAGCCGTGGATATTGTCTTCACACCACAGTCCCTCCACAAGAACCACTTCAGACAAGCTTTTTTGGTGGAAAATCAACTTCAGTCTCCACGGCTGCAAGTGGGTAGGGGAAGAAACACTCCAAGTGTGGGAGTTTATGAGGAGGTAACCATCCAGGACTGGCTGGCTCTGAACAGAACTGGGGTTTCAAGGGTTCCCTACGTTAACTGTAGGGAAAAAATAAGACGCAGATGTTAAAAATGCTCATAGGTATCGAGACAAATTTTAAAGGAGGAAAAGACGATGGTTTGTAGCAGTTACTGATGCACACGGACTGTGCTTTAGATATTGAGCGGTAGATGGCAGTGGTGGCATTAACATGAGTCCTCCAGTGCACGCGTTGTTTTGTCATTGCAGAGTTTAGGGAAAATCAGGGAGGTGTCCAAAAATGCTCTAGGGACAGCCCTAATTGCCTGCCTGACCTCAGCAAGTTCAGATCAGCCCAGCTGTAAAGTGGTGGCCTTTGCTCCTTCTTTGTGCAAGGCCAAAAAATGCTCCAAATCTCACACGAGTGCATATTTGTTCCTTTCATTTAGAAGACAGTTGTACAGTGACCCTGGGAAGTGGCCAGGAGAGAGAGGGGGCTCAGAACCATCTGAAGTTTTGGGGAGTGACGTGACACAATGGACTTTCCTCAGAGACACCTGGTATGTTTTGTCCAAAATAAACAGGCAGGACACACCACCTTAAAGCCATCCATCTCAGCTGGTCTGAGGCTGGTGTTCCCAGCTCTGCAGAGCACTGGGGCCTCTGCTGCTTCATCCTCAGAGCAAGAATGAGAGTTACCAACCCTGCGGACACCAGCTCACCACGGGCAAGTTTAATGTTAATCCTATCGGACTTGGCCTTGGAAAATGATGCTAGACTAGCATTTTCATTGCTCTCCAGCTGTGTGTGTTCTTTTTAACACTATTTCGCTGTTTAAACCTGCCTTCAATTCCCTGCCCCAGTTTTATCCTTTGACTACTAAAAAAGCAGCTGATTTAACACTAAAAGTCAGTAAAATCCCTTGTGTCTCTCTTGTCTATCAGTACCTGCTTGTCTGATATTTGCAGGGTAGTCAGACTGACCTTCTGTTCTGTATCTATTTACCTGGAAATGCAAGGGGTTCCAGGTCCTTACAGCAATTAAAATAACATTACTGATCTTACCTTGTGTGAGTGGAGCAAGTTGTCCTCTGCTTTCTGAAGTGCTGCTTCTTACTGCTCTGTCCAACAGCACCACAATGTTTTCTGGTAGACCAAGGAGTGACAAAGGTACCTCTTGACACACAGGAACGTGGCTAAAAACCTGTATTGCCTTTCATAGGATAACAAGAACAAAGTTCATGTATCAGTGGCCTGGACAAAGCAAAACATGAGTCTATTATGTTCCAATGAAAACCCACAATTATCTTTTTAAGTACTATGCCAATATAGTTATTAAGGAATTAAGACTATATTATGGATATTATTGATTGACTCCAAGGAATAGGCTGGTGTTGTATCAGCATAGACAGGGAAGCTGTGTGTTCTACAGCCATGCAAATGCAATGAAGATATAAGATTGTGTGAGAAGATTCCCAGCAAAAAAAAAAAAATTGCAATATAATTCATGTACTTGCATAGGGCTTACAAACATCAGTGAATGCAAATAAACAGCCTGAAGAGCCTATTTATAAAATCTCAAAATCCCCTACCTGAGATACTCATTCCTATTTAACAATTTTGCACTAATCCCCCATAACATCCACAAGGCCACTTCATTGCTGATGAAGCTTTTTAGAATTTTCCCTCATGATGGAAAAAAGAGTAGAAAGAGAAAAGTAGCAGCACAGTGAGGTTGCTGATGTGCTAAGAAAAGTGCTCACCACACAAACCACTGTTCTTCCCTTATCCCTTCATCTGTATCCACTCCCTCTGTTAACAGACCATTAGCTCTCTGGTTGCTTAAAGTCCAGGCACAAAAGATCTTGTACTGTTCAGTCTGTGATCATTAACAAAATAAAAACCCTCAAAATTGGCTTTGGAGGGGATTGAAGGAGTAGCTGACAAACACTAGGTGACAGCAGCTTCCGAGCTCACACACTGCTGCCCAGGTGCCTTTCAAAATGAACCAGCCTACCTGGGGGCTGTTTGCTGACCACAGAACGAGGTATGACCCTACACTTTAATGGTGAGAGTGCAATCAGTGAGAAACCTGTCTTACTGCAGCCCAGTGATCTTCAGAAATCAAGATTCACCATCAGAAGGGGAAAGGCCCCACTCCCTGTCCTCCAAGGCAACCAATGCCTCTTAATGCACATCACTCTCCAGAATCCTGCAAGATAATGTCCCACAGCATAGCTTTGAATTCCCTCATTAACTGAGAACAGCATAAGAACAAAGCCAGGAAGGAACTGTACAAGGTTCCTGTACTAATTGTGCTCAGGTGAATATTCCTAATGGGTGTGTCCTGCAAAGAGCAGCATTTTATGCCATTTACCTCATAACAGCTGATCATGAAGTTCTCAGCAGGAACTATACGATAATCTATCCAGGGGTGGAAAGCCTGGATCTCCACACCAGGTTATGAAAGGAGTGACTACAATTTTCAATCTCCTATTGGCAAAGAATTCTACTATTTAGCCTGTCACTGAGAATAAAACACCTCCTAAAGCCTCCCTGGGATACCCTTTGTAAGTAATGCTGTCAGCAACATCCCATGCATGGTATTTTAGTAGCTACATGATACTTTACATGATACTTACTAAATCACAGAAGTTATCTTGCAATAGAAAAAAACTTGTGTGACCTCTCCATTTCAAAGGAAGGACAAAAATTAAGCTACTTGCTTATTAAAGCTGTTTTAGTCCACTATGCAAAGCAATTTAATGGAGATAGAAAAGTCCTTTAAATTGCTCCATCTTAGTCTCAGACCATTTGTTATGAAAAAAAATCTTACAGGCCCCTGGATTATGATTTAAGATAGATTTAATACTGTTTGTCCCCTGGACATCTAGAGTGATCAGTTCTAGGCATGCCAAGAAAATACAGGCTATTGTATGCTTAATGTCCATAACTGTGATTAAGAAATAATCTTTGGGCTTTATTTTTTTTTACAACTGTTCTCCATGTATAAGAGCACTTAAAAAATCATGCTGAAATTTAGAGATTGAAGACCCAACTTGAATTGTTTAATAAACAGGACTATCACCATGGACTCCAGCCTAATGCTAAAAAATCTCCTTGAATTCTGGTTATCAAATACAAAATAATCTTGTTTCTTCCACATTATAGAAACTAGGCATTATTAACAGGCAAAGAATTTAATCCAGGAGAAAGAAGTATCTACAAGACTCTTCTAGGCCAGCAGCATAATCTTATTGTTAGCATATTTTTGGCAGGCAGCTCAGAGGCAAATCCCCATTCCATTTCTTCTGCCCATCAGTAAAAAAAAATAGGAATTACTCTATCAGAAACAAGAACTAAACTTAGCCAGCACTTGGACTGAGAAAAGGCTTCCACTAAGGTGGTGTTAGTGAAATCCCACCACAGGCTATTACTACATTATTTCTAACCTTCTGAAAGGACACGCCAAGTCTCACACTTCCATGTAAGTCTGTGGCAAACATTAAAGGAGGACGCCAGAGTAAGCTAGATAATTATATACTAAAAATAAGTCACTAGGACAACAAAACATGCCTGAAAATTACTTTATTTGTTCGTCAGGTTTGTGCGTTACAGCAAGCATAAGTTTAGCTACCATGAACCGTCTGGAAGAGCATTTAATGTTAACTTTAGAGATGTAGAGTGAGTAGAGCCCATATCTGCACACAACATGCTGGTTTTCTATGGCTGGAATCTGGCATTCATGAGTTACAGATCTTTGATATCCTTCTGGATGTTCCACAGGGTATCCGCGCTCTTCCTCAGCTGAGTCACCTCATCGTCCTTCAGCTTTTGGTTGATGACACTTGTCAATCCAGAGGCACTTAGGACAGAAGGCAGGCTCAAGAAGACATCATTCTCAATGCCATACATGCCCTGCCACAGAAAAAAGAGATCAGATATGAGCCCATCACCCCAGATGTGCATTTAATTTGTAGAACAGGAAGCCTCCTGAGAGGAGAGCTAAAAACTATCATTTTACAGCCTGTAGAAGAATTTCAGTCACAGTGTATTTGAGAAAATAAACAGCATAGAGCTGTTTTGGACCAAATGTCTGGCAGTGCCAAGATGGCTGACTGCAGAAACCCCACCTTCAAAGCTCTTCAAACCTCTCACTTTTACTTCTATACAGCAAGTACCCGACAAGATTCAGATGCAGGATTAGGGCAGGTCATCCTTCCTGCCACAGAGGCAGCAGTAAGCTCAACCTGCTCAGAGTCCTTGTTGCACCAGGGGTTACAGAGCTAGTCCAGACTAGATGCAGCCAGTTACATCAGCTATAAAAGGACACAGTTCTCCCCCCAGGACTTTTGCTAGGCAGTGGTTCGTGGAATTGCAGCTGGGCCTCCATGAAGTTTTCCAGTTTTACACCAAAACCTCCTTCCAAGGAATGTGCATGCCACAAATGGCAAACTTTACAAAAGGGTAGTACAGAGAACTTATTTTCAGCTCCATACTTGTGAGAGGAGTAGGCTGAGAGGTCAGCCTAGAAGGAATGGCAAGAGTAAGCTCCCATTTTAAATTCAAAGTCGTGTTTTACAAAGCTTCCTTTGTTCAGCCCCTTGCTAACCGAGACTACTTAGCTTGTCATAACAACAAAATGAACTAGAGCATCCAATCAGCCACCACTTCTTACCTTTACCAGTGTGGAGATGGAATGAATCCTGTGCAAGTTCTTCAGCATGGTCTCACAGAGGTCAGCAACACTAAGGCCAATAGCCCAGTTTGTGTATCCCTTCAGTTTGATCACCTCATAAGCACTAAGGAAACACGGAAAGACAACTGCATTAAGATGTCTTCAAGACACTCTGTGACTTAAGAGGAGTGAAAGTTTCCCATTTAAAAACAAAAAATAAACTCCTGCAACACTTTCTAAGTTTTGGAATTAAAATATCAAAGTAGAAGAGTGATGTGTTTCAGCATTGGAAGATTAAGCATAAAATATACATATTCCCATATGTATAATTAAGAATCCCTGTTGTTCTCACAGGATTAGCTGAAAAGAAAATTAGCTTCCATCTAGGAAGAGTTCTTAGTGTTAGGTAGAAAAGCACACCTACACCTAATAAATTCTCAATTTCAGTCAGTGACACAATCATTCTGAGTGCATTTGGAATAGATAAACATTTAGAGTCGAAGCCATGCACTACCTACACACACCCCCTGGTGTTTTTAGCCAACATCTGGAGAGAGTGCAGGAGAGTACACTCATATCACAAGTGAGACAAGTGAATTAGCAACACGTGAACAAATCTTCCTGCATCAATGAACAAAATTTCCCCCCGTTCCAACACTGCTCACAGAAACACACTGCCCTTCCCTAGTCTTGTGCCCTTTGAACAAAGTGAACCACTCAAGAAGCTCCATGAGAGAAAACAAGTAGACACAGCTCTAAGCTCTGCAGCACTTAAGTGGGCATGTTATGCGATAGCTTGTCTGGCTGCAGGATAATGAAATAACCAGCTGAAATCCTGCATTTTTGTGTTTAAACCAGCAGTCCCACTTATCCATGCAGCCCTCTAAATAAAAGGGCATGGAAGCTGCAGCACAACGGAGAGACAGTGTGCACACAAGCTACTTTCAGCATCACATATATCCATGTTATTCCTCAAGTCATTGTACCTGTCAACTACTTTCTTGTGGACCTCCTTCCAGTTCTCAGGGTCTTTGTCAGTTCCCATGGCAGGATTCAGCTGCTGGAGACAAACCCCTGCCACATTAATTCCGCTCCAAACAGCCACTGGAACAGAGGGAGGACATAAGTTTCAACAGCACTTTTGCAACTCCCCCTCCACTTTTTCCTATCTAAAACAATTGGAACCATAAGTAGCAGCAGCCAGAACCGCAACAATGTTTGAGGAAGACTTTCATTTTTCATTTAGCTGCAGTTAATTCTGAGAACTCTGGGTGTCAATTGTGAGACTATTTTAGTACTGGCACTTTAACAAGCTGATTGTAACACATGACAGGAGACCTTGGAAGGTGCAGACAGCCCTCTCTGAGGTCAAACCTCAGACTCTAGCAAAAAGGCACACCTTAGCTGTTCAGACTTTTAAAACTCATTCTGCTCAAAACTGCAGCAAGGATGTATTTGCTGTTTCACTAATCAGTGTTAGGTTCAGCCTTCAAGAAACTTGTTCTTATTTACATGAGTAAGAGGGTAGCAATATACAAACTTAAAATATCAAGACAGGAATTTGCACTTCTCTTCATACTGGAAGCTTACAGGTAGGCTCATCCTTTGTTCCTGTGAAGTAACTAGGAATTATGAGTTACTTCAAAGCAAAAACTGATGCCGGATGAGCTCTGTGTATGCTCAGCCAAACTCTGCTTTCAGTAGGGTAGGGCTGATCAAATGCAACGGGACACTGAAGAGGTGGCTCCCCTAGAAATACACAGCACAAAAATATGAAGCAGTACCAATGCACACAGATATTCTGTTGCATCATTTCAGACTTTAAATACATGAGCTGAATTAAGACAGATGGGTTTCTTTGATTTTACATGTGTTTGAAACCATCTTTTAAATATCACAGAGAAAAGTTATGAAATAAGGTAAGGGATAATTTTTTTAGCCTGAGCCTGGATTGCCAGGGTTTTCTGTTACCTCTAACAAGCTCTGCCCTTGACTTAAAAGGAGATGATACTGCTTTCAGAGGAGAACTGTGGTACAGGCTGTTATGGTACTCCAAAAACTGAGGATAAAGAAAAGTACTAAGCTATAGCCTTTAGGACACAACTTGAGCTCACAAAATTGGCCTTTTCAGTTCAGGGTTTAATTATTAAATATGTGCAGCTACGTTTCACAGGATCACAGGATGGTTTGGGTTGGAAAGGACCTTAAAGATCATCTCACTCCAACCCCCTGCCATGGAGGCAGCCACAGCTTCTCTGGGCAACCTGTGCCAGGGCCTCATCACCCTCACAGGGAAGAATTTCTTCCCAATATCCCATCTAACCCTACACTCTCTGTCAGTTTGAAGCCATTCCCCTTGTCCTGTCACTCCAGGCCCTTGTAAGTAGCCTCTCTCCACCCATCCTGTAGGCTTCCTTCAGGTACTGGAAGGCCACAGTTAGGTGATCCTGAAGCTTTCTCTTCTCCAGGCTGAACAATCCCCAATTCTCTCATTTCCTGGACTTGTCTCAACTCAAATCTTCATAAAACCACGGCTAAGTGCCAGTAACTCGAGTGGAGCTGCATCTGTTCCTTCAGTTTTGTAACACCCTTAGACCTCAACCTCTAACACTGTATTGCTCATTCCCAAAGAGGTCAGAATTGCTCCTTACCACTGGAATCACCGTGCTCTCCCAGGATCCAGCCATGGCAGCTGCTTGGATGAATCCCAAGCCTCTCAGACATCAGATAACGAAATCTGGCCGTGTCGAGATTGCAGCCACTTCCAATCACACGGTTTTTTGGCAGGCCACTCAGCTTCCATGTGACATAGGTCAAGATATCCACTGCAAGGAAAAACATGCACAGTAAATTAAACCACTCACATCAAGAATGCTCCAGAAATTACTTTACTGCAAGTAGCAGGGCAGTCAGGAGGACTCAAAACACAGCTGTGCTCATTGGTCAAAGTATTTTGGGTCTGACTATTTGGGGGATTTAAAATTAATGCACTGCTTGAGATTTTTTGAACAGTAGCTTGATGGGTCCTAAAAAAATTTGAGTAAGATCTCTGGAGATTAGATTCCTACCAGCTAAAGTTGGGACACATTTTTTTGTCACAGTTAAACCCCCAGGGCATTCAGAACTGGGACTGATCTCATGTGGCTGAAACACTCAAGTAATTTCCTGAAGTAATATTACCTTCTGGTTCATCATCACAACAGGTAAAACAATTCACAGTGAAAAGTTTGAGATTTGCATACTCTTTGTAGTTGGTAATTACTTCAATTCAACTTCTTGATTTGTGCACTAAGCAGTTTCTGCATTTACTACCAATATGCTTTAGCTGCGTCTCCAAAAACAAAGCTTTAGAAAAAAACACAAAGCTAGGTGGGGCAGACAGAAGGATCTGAGCAGAGAGAAAACCTCTAATCAACAGGTCAAAGCAACAATAATAAACAGGCTGCAGTAATTATGACTCCAACTCGCAGCAGCCAGCCAGTTCTCAGGAGGGAACACATTTGTGTATACAGGTCTGAAATAAACCATTTGCTCTGCTCAGGCACAAAAAGCACATCATCTCAGCACAGTTCACACCTCCTTGACATGTTCATCAGGCACAGCTTTCTTCCTATAGCTTCAGCTGGGGCTGTTCCTGCCAGGATCACAGTAACCTGTCCAGACTACAGAGCATCTCCCTGTCCATCAGCTCCAGGCAGTCCGGCTTTACAAGTCACTAAAGTCCCTTCTGATGAGCTCACAATAACTTCCACTATATAAGACTAGTGGACAAAACTCCACACATTGAGAAAACAAAGGGTTATAAAAATAATTCTGCAAAAGCAACATGCAATTCTCCTCCTGCAGCTGCTCTACTGGAGAGAAGTCTATAGATTGAATCTGGCCCTGCTAAAACAAGAACAAGTCGATCTTTGTCGCAGTTTGATTTTTTGATAAGTGTTTAAAACTGCCCTAAGTTGTTGTACTTGCACAGTAGGCACTTGCTCAGAACACTGGTATTCAGTAGGAGTAATTGTACACCAGCTAATTACTCGACCCCCAGTTGAGCTGCCAGCTTTGCATGCACTGTTTCCACTCTGCAAAGTTCTCTCTAAAAGCAGCGTTACTTCACCACCAGGGTTCTGTAGCCCTGGCCTCACTCAGATGTTGAGTCAAGCAAAGACAACCCTACAGGGACACCCCACAAAGCACATCAGAATGTTTACAGTCAGCTTTAGACATCCAAATATCCAAACTGCCTCAGTGTAAAGAGGTACTTGCAAGTTAGCACACAAATACGTGTAATCAGTTATAACAAAGTCTTTTCTAATCCAATTGAACTGTGTACTAGTCAGCCCTTGTTCTGCCACAGGCTTCAGCATCAAATTCTTTTTCCTGAAAATATAGAATATAGGGTAAGTTCTTCATCCTGAAAAATGGCTGTATCACATCCAGACGCAAAATTATCCTTTAGAAATAAAAGTTTTAAGCTACCAACTGCTTAAGCCAAAGTATGTAAAGAACTGAAGTATTTACCATAAAGCATTATTTTAAGATAAGGACACCATGACAAGTTCTGAATAAAGAGAGCATCAGAATGTACAGGATATTTGTTTGTATTCTGTTGTTGGCCACTACCTGGCAGATGTCCACAAAAAGCTATTAACCTTCAATTTGTATTTGAAAAGACTGTCAGAGAATGAATGTTGTGTTTTATCAAACCGAATTTTTAAGGGTTTCAGAAAAGACTGCCTTGCCTGGATTGGAAACCACGATGATGATGCAGTTGGGGCTGTGCTTCACGACCTGAGGAACGATGAATTTAAAGACATTCACATTCCTCTGGACCAGGTTGAGGCGACTCTCCCCCTCTTGCTGACGAACGCCCGCAGTCAGGATCACGATCTTGGAGTTGGCTGTCACCTTGTAATCTACACCAGAGCATGGGGGGGAAGACACAGAATGTGTTAAATACACTTGTCACGCATTTCAACAATCACTGTGTTCATACAGTGTTACAGGCAGCTTCTCCACTGTGCATTCCATTCAAACCCAAAACCAGGAAACATCAATATTAAAGCCAGTACCACCTCTAACATTGTCCAATTTAGGTATCAATATATATGGGTCTGGAGAGCACCTTCAACCACCCAAATCTCACTTCCACTTTCCAAATCACAACATTATTTCTTCTACAAAGGGGTACTATAGCTTCATTAAAATCAGTTTTACTAAACAAGCTCCAGATTGTAAAGTGGCCATTAGAGATGAGAGAAAGCCCAGATTAAAAACTACTCCCACTGCTATGGTGTTCATCCAAACTCTCACCCCAATTCATACACTTTTTCAATGTGAAGTCCTTTGAATTCTTTAGGATTACACAACTAATTCTCCACTATCAAACAAAGTCACAGAATGTCAGTATTAAATAAAAAACTGAGGTTCACCTTTGTCTGCCACAATCTTGTGAGTGTGAAGGAACAAGCTCCCATGCTGTAGGTCCATCATTTCTCCTTTTAGTCTGTCTTCCACAACATCAACCAGAGCAAGTTCATCACAAAGACCCTGAAAACAACAAAATCTGGAGTCAGTGAAGCAGTTCACTTGCATTTTAAAGTTAGCCCTGAGCTGAGGTGTATTTTGTTTCAAAGTAACATGCCACAGCAATTTGAAAGCATCTCTTCTCCAAAGTTAAACCTGTGGGACAGCACTACCTTGGTGTTCTGATGTATCTCACAGGAACAAAGTCAGAGGCTGCTACAGCACAGTTCATAAAACTCATTCAGACTTTCCAAAAAAGATATTATTTGTGGGGAGTTTGAGTTAGCAGCCAACTCTTTGCTAGGAAAGCACTTCATGATTTAGTAATTATATTTGGGAAAAAGTTATATCTTTCAGAGTTGTAACAAAACTTCTAAGTCTATCCAGCAAATAGACCTGTTGTAAATATTGAAATGTCTAAAAGAACACTCCATATAATTATCAAACAAGTATTCTCTTTTAACATGCCTTCAATCAATTAATTTCACAAAACTACACAACGGGAACAGATATTTTCCTCAGCCCTAAAAATCAAGAGAAAACAGATTCTTTAGTTGTTTTTCTCTACTAGAGCTACTATGTTATATTTATTTTGCAGAATACATTTAGCCATGTATGCTTGTTGTCCAGCCAGGTTAAGTAGGGAGATAACCTCATACAGTCTCAGAACAGGAAAACAATGAAGTATGGGAGTGGAGGGAAAAGGTATTTTGCTCTAATGCAAAGCCTTCCTTTGGCTTTTCCTTTTGACAAAAATTTTTATTATCTTTGTAAATTCCATTATCCTTAAAGGCTGATCAGGCAGTAAATTATATTGAAATTCAAATTACTACTTCTCTGTTTTCCTAGATATCTACACTCTATTTGAGAGCAGTTAAGCCATTTTTAGCAACTAAAATACTGTTTTTCCTGTGGAAAAATATATCTAACTGCACGCATATTTAAAGTTTTCATTTCATACTCTGAAATAGTGTTAGTTTATTGCTTTTCTGCATTGCTCCCCTTAGCAGCTGATTTGATAAAACTGTTGAAGAAAAATCATAAGAATCTGTATCTGTACTTGCTCTGTTCCCAAAATAGTCTGCAGGGTAAAATGAATGTCTCAGTTGTTTAAACACTATGAAAAAGTATGCTTAGCTGAAGGCATTGGTGTTAAACTACGAAGTTAGTGCAATCAGAGTTTGAAAAAAAAATGTGTGCACATGTGCAATTATGGATAGATTTATACACACAGTCTGATGGGACTTGCAGTCTAGAACTTGCAACCAATATTCCTCAGACTCTGCAAGTTCCAAGAGCAGGTTCTCACTTAAAGAGAAGAGCAGCTGGAATACCTCCAATAACTAATTTCATGAATTTGCATCACTTTTCTAGAGAAGAACTCAGCTCATTATCAGCACACACGGGAATGAAGCCTACACAATCACCAAATGCAGCTCAAAATACTCTCATTTAAAGCAGCTGATTTGTGACTGTGGACATGCTCCCATTTCTAAATCAGTGTGGCAACATCAGTGACTTGTCTCTAACAGAGAGGGAGCTAAAAATAACCAGCATGGAAGTGTTGGTGTCATGCAAATTTAAATACTAAATACTACACCAGTAAACTGAAATTAGTATTAGAGCCAAACTGTGCACAAGTAAAGCCACAAATTGGTTCACAGAGGCTGAATGTGAGCCAGTGTGTGCCCAGGTGGGCAATAAGGCCAAGGGCATCCTGGCCTGGATCAGGAATAGTGTAGCAGCAGGACCAGGGCAGGGATTGTCCCCCTGTGCTGGGCACTGCTGAGGCCACACCTCAAATCCTGTGTCCATTTCTGGGCCCCTCACTACAAGAAAGGCATTGAGGGGCTGGAGTGTGTCCAGAGAAGGGAATGGAGCTGGGGAAGGGTCTGAAGCACAATTGTGATGAGGAGAAGATGGGGGAGCTCTGGGGGCTCAGCCTGGAGAAAAGGAGGCTCAGGAGGGACTTTACCACTTCCAACAACTCCCTGACAGGAGGATGTAGCCACATAGGGGTCAGGCTCTGCTCCCAAGGAACGAGGGACAGGACAAGAGCAAACAGCCTCAAGCTGTGCCAAGGGAGGTTTAGATTGGATATGAGGAAAAAATTTCTCACTGAAAGGGTGGTCAGGTACTGGAACATGAAGGTGGTTGGGTCACACCCCTGGAAGTGTTTAAAAGAGCTGTAGATGTAGCACTAGGGGACATGGTGGACTTGGTAGTGCTGGGTTAATGGTTGGTCTTAATGATCTCAGAGGTATTTTCCAACCTAAATGACTAATTCAGTTACAAGAACCAGATGGTTTTGTTATAAAAATATTTTATACTGCAGCTTATACTTGTAAGAGAATAAGAGCAGAAGTCTGGTTGACATAAAATCCATGTCATCATTCATGCTTGAAAAACTGAAAACCAGTTTTTACTCTGGATTTGGTGCATACAACTCATTATTAGTAAAACTTTGTGCTTAGTTATCTCAAAGCAAAAATTTAATCCTGCCTAAAGCAGTGTATTAAACACAGATGAATGATGGATTGTAGTGCAGTTTGTGGTGACATCACCTGGCTCCCTCACTGTACAAGGTTACAGGACTTCAAAAACAAACTAGTTCAGCCCATGAGAGGCAAACATTTGCTTAAGGAAATATAGGAAACCACAATGAACTATAACTGTTTTCCCCTTAAATTTCTCCTTTATATAAGTTTTTTTAAAAACTATTTGCTACTCTCATATTAATACTCAAGTTCCACTTGATGTCAGTTTTTCCTTGGTCACAGGGCTCATGAATATCAGCAAGCAAAAGCCCTTTTTTTTTTTTTTTAATATTTAAAACCCCAGTATATTAAAGCAAACATTCTCGGGGTAATATGTTGAAGAATCATCTACATAAAATACAGCTGGTTTAGTAGTACATCCAAGATTTTTCATCTGACTGTGAGCTACCTGATTTAAGGCAGCCTCTGCAAGTGGGCAGGGCATATCTGTTTATGCCTTTGTTAAAAAAAAAAATCTGCAGCTCCCATCATCTTTCCAAAAACAGCACAAGAGGGATCAAATTTAAGTCATTCACAATATTCTCTAAAAACAAGAGATCCTTGTTGCATAATGAGCCTTTGCTTTGCTCAAAGAGAGTAACATAAGATTTGAAAAAAAAAATCCTATAAACCAGGAATAGGAAAAGTCAGAATAACCTCTAAATCCAGACCTCTATTTTTAGTTTTTGAAAAACTAGCTAAAACCTCTCTGGAAAAAATAATCATGTAACCAAGCAAAAAAAAAATTTAAGAGAAATCAAGAAGTCTGCTTAAGGGGATAGCACCATTTTCAGCTATTATGGTACACATGCCTTAAAACAGTAAAAAGCAAACACTTATTGTTCTGATTGCTACCCCATATTTCACATCCATTTCTTCTCTGTCCGCATTCTTTTCCCACCAGAGCTCCCTCACTGAGCAAACTCCAGCTTTGTTGTGGAAGAATAAGAAAATTAAGAAGAGAATGAAAAGTTTGGCAGGGGTTTAAGAGCCATCTGCTCACTATATTTTCCCAGCAGCCTGCAAAATAACTCTGCCTAATGAGAGATTTATTGCCAAGGACGGACGGAAAGGTGAGAGAACAAGGAGAAGCTGAATGGGGAAGTCAGCCTTGTAGGTCACTGACTGCTTACCCGAACTGCACATGATTCATTCCTGCACTAACCTACCGAATCCCCCACCATTGGCTAAGGCAAACAGGCAGCAGAGAACACTGCGGCAGGGGGAGCTTGAGCGGCACGCTGTCCTTGAGCCGTACCTTTCCAAGGATGCTGATGGCAGCGGCCATCCCGACCTGTCCAGTGCCCACAATTGAGACCTTGTTGTTGGGGGCCGTGGCTCCCGAGGCAATGGGGGTCATCAGCTTCTCCTTGAGTGTGGCCATGGTGTTCTGAAAGGATAACGGGAACAGCTGGTTCAAAGCAAGCCAGAGGGTGCTGAAAGCCATGTTCCGAACCGCGGGCGTCACCTAAACCCGCCGACCGAGGTGCTGCGAGCGGCTGCTGACGGCGCTTTTCACACAAGGTGGCCCTCGGGCACGATGCCCTTGGCTCGCAGGGCTCCTTCCAAGCCACACACCCACCCTCACATCCCTCCCTGGCCGCGGAGCTCCGGATCCCGTCCGTGCCCGGTGCCCAGCGAGGGGCTGGAGGGCGGCACAACCGACCGGCCCCGCGGGGGCTCCGATTCCAGCGCCGTTACCGGCCCCGGGCAGCAACGGCCCCGCAAACCCCCACCGGGGCCGGCCCCGACACCGCGGACCAGCCGGGGAGCTGCGATCCTGCTGGGATCGCCCCGACCCGTTTCCCTGCGCCCCCGAGGCTCCCCGGCCTCAAACCACGAGCTTCCGACCTTCCCGGGACGCAGGGCAGCGAGGGGCCGGGGCGGCACACGGGAGGGCTCTGAGCAGGGAGACACAGCCCGACCCCGGCCATCCCCAACGCCCCGAGCCCCTGGGATCCACAGCCTGACCCCGGCCATCCCCAATCCCCAGAACCCCTGGGATCCACAGCCGTGGACCATCCCAACCCCAAAACCCTGGGATCCGCAACCCGACCCCGGTCATCCTCAAACCCCCGGCATCCACAGCCCGACCCCGGCTACCCCCAAACCTCTGGGATCCACGAGCTGACCCCAGCCACCTCTAAATCCCCGAAAGCCACAGCCCGACCCCCGGCATCCCCAACCCCCCGGGATCCACCGCCCGGCTCCGGCCACCCCCGTTCCCCCCTGCCCGGCCGCCACGCACGGAGAGTCGACAGGGGCACGGGCTCCCGCTCCTGCTCCCGGCGGAACTGAACCGCCGGGGGAGGAGGGAGGCAGGGCAGGGAGGGCAGGCTGGGCGACACTCCAGCGCCCCCATGGTGTTGCGGGGGCCCCCCGTTACCCACCGGTCGGCCGGGGCGCGGGAGCGGCGCGGGCTGCGGGACCGTGCGGGGCTCGGGCAGGGAGCGCTCTGCGGCGGAAGGGGCGGGCGCGGCGGCGCCGGGGGGAGGCGGCGGCCGCCGGGCTCAATGCCCGCCAAGGACGAAGCCCCGGGGGTGCCTCCGCTCCGCCTCGGCAGCCGTGCAGGGCGGGCAGTGCCGGTCGTGCCCCGCGCTGCCGGTGAAGGAGCGGCCGCGCTGCCCCGGGCGGGTCCCGCGGGGACTCGTGGGCTCGCCGGTGCCACCAACGCTCGCCCCCGCAACGGGCATGGGCGGGTTGTTACCTGCCCGTCACGGCTCCGGCCGCGAGGAACGAGCGAGCGAGGGCGAAACTGAGCAAAAATAAAGCGTTTTTCACCTGCTCTTCTCCAGGGGCACAGTTGCTCAAGCGGGTGGTCTCTTGTGCCCCTCTGATTTCTGCCCTCTCTGATTCTGTGCCCTTAGCCTGGCTCCCCAGTTGAGCTTTCGGTGGTTGAACGAATCCGGCCTGGAGCCACGAGGCGATGCCTTGGCACGAATAAGGGTTGTAACCTGAGGCAAGGACAACATGGAATGTAACCTGATGATGCAAAGCTGCCGCCGTCGCCGCTCCTCCTCCTCCTCTTCCCCTTCCCTTGACTTCGGCCGAATCCACGTCGCACTCCTCCCATATTTCACCCTATCCCAGTAGGGCTTCCCTTTAAAATGGTGATATATGGGACCTGCGGAACGAGCCCCTGGAGCGTGACTGGAATTTTGTGCCTTGACAAAAAATAAGCACATCATGCGGCACTGAGCGACAATTATCAAACGATATGACACCCTTTGGAGGTTGGACCGGATGATCTCCAGAGGTCTCTTCCAACCCTAGCAATTCTGTGATTCTTTTCCTCGGACCCATGGAACACACAGACTGAAATTTTTGGGTATATGGTGTGCCACTGCTGCTGAGCAGAGATGGAAATGATTTCTTGAAATCCCTGCAGGACCAACACAAGCAAAGTAGGGAAGAATAGCGAGAATGTTTTCTTCTAATGCTGTAATATTACTTCTTTCTAACTGTAAAGGAGGAAAGTAAAGGCAAAACACCGAATGATACGCATTTAGTTTCACTGGGAAAAAACCGGAAAGCTTTAGGTTCCTCAGCACACATGATCAACTCTGTCTTACAACAGGGAAAACGGAACAGTAGATTCCAGAGTCCTCCCAAATAAGTCACTGGGTTAAATGTGACAAGGCAGAGAGCCTGGCCTTGCCTGCCTACGGCCTTTCTTTTTCTGTTGCTGTGGCTAGTTTAAAGTCTTATTGATTGCATTTTGTCAGGTATTTTGCCACGTCAGTAATATTAATTCCCTCTGGCCCACCAGGCAGCCAGACAAACACTGGTGCCAGGACGAGGGAGGTGGTGAGCATGGTGGTGAGTAAAGGAGGAAACTGCCTTTCTGGGCAGCAGCACAGATCCATGGTGGCTTTAAATTACTATCTAACCATGACCTACTTTGCTTCTTTGCATTGTTTGACATTGCAAAGGGTTCCCTGGAGGGAAAGAAATGAGTTAAGCCATCCACATGACACTTCAGGTAGCAGCTTGCTGTAAGAAAATCAATTCAACACTTTGAGTTACAGCTGAAATGGGAGCTGGAGGTAAATAATAATTACACAGCAAAGTGTAAGGGTAAAGAAAATCTATCCTGTATATTCACAATGGGAGCATGGACAGATGAACTTTGAGAAAATAAGGAGGAAGGGAGATGAAAAGGTTCTGGAGAGATTAGAGAAGGATCAGAGCAGGGATTTTTCATCCTTGAGCCAGGAGCAAAGGTTCTTGTCCTGCAAAGTTCCCCACTGCATTGTGTCTTTTTGGACATGAAGAGCATCTCTTCTTATGAGCATTCAACAATCAATTATCATAGTAGCATCTGTAATTAAATAGAGAGGGAAATGCCATGTTCATATTTGTAAAATTTTAAAGCTTTTAAAGGCAGACTGGACCATTTGCCACATGTTACAACAGTTCTCCTAGGCCCTCACTTAGATCAGACTTCGTTTTACATGCAGTGTTAAAAGCACTAGGTATTTAATCTCCTCTCAGTGAAGTCCTTTTAATCTAAATAGACAAGGCAGGAGCAGGACAGTGGGTGGAAGAAAGATTATTCCCTCTTCCTGCTCTTAATTATTTAGTTACTTATTGTTCCAGATGATGGAGGATTGAGGCACAGAGAGGTGAAAAGGTCTCCCCAGGGTCACGCGGAAAGTCTCCTGGCATCAGGTCACAGTTTCAAAGTTCAGCTGTAGTTTGGCAGCGTTGGCATTTTTTGATGAAGTGCAGTTTTCCAGAAAAACAAACCCTACTGTTAAGGGGCACAGTCTAAATAAATTTGCCTGGTCACCTTCATACAATTACGACACATCTTTTGTGCATACATTTTAGTCACGTTCAACTTTTGGGTTGTATACAAAGTGTGTAGTTACATAAATCTGAGATACTTCAGTACTTGCCTCTGTCCCATCATCTTCCCAAAACACTCGAAAGCAGATAGGATTTCCCTGCTGTTTCTTTTTTCCAAAATTATAGTTAAATCTGATTAAAAACGGAGATCTCACTTGAAAAACTCCATTGATGGGACTGTTTCCCAAAGCAAAACATTGATGGTCTGATGGCCATGGTCTGATGGTTTCTGTACTCCTGAGATAGCAAATATCAAGAAGAATATAAACTAGGAATGGGAAGGAACCCATTACACCACAAGAACATGGGATGTAGCCTGGTGGCAGGAGAAAACAAGGTAAAGATGATCTCTCACTGTGTTAGACTTGGTAGGTCAGGTCATTGTCCTTCAGGATGGATATGCCCAAAGCATTATTTCACATGGCTGTAATGCTGGGAAAAGAATTAGTTGTCCAGCTTTGTAAAATACAGAGAACTGAATTAATCTGCTGGAAATCATTGGGTGCTGTCATGCACAATGCTGGCAGATGCTGAATTAAAATTCTGGTCCACCTATATTTTAATTCTCTTCTTATTCATCTGGATTTGCCATCTGAAGGCAAGTATGTTGCCATTCGAAGGAAAATACATCACACAATAAATAAAAATTATCTTGGAGTAGCAGCTTTGCTTCTTTTACCCTGGTTTTTTTTTTTTGAAGGAACAGTTCTTTATTTTTGGCAGCAATCCTACTTTCTGTTTAATTTTTATTTAAAGATTAGACAGTGTCATATAGATAACACACTCATTATAGTTAATTGCTTTATAGCACGGTTAATAAAAAAAACAAACACATCACGAGTTTGAGGATTATGATGCAAAAGGAGTGAAATGTGATGATCCCATTTAATGAACATCTTTGGTGCCAGAGGAAACAAGTGATTATCAATTTTACAATTAGTAAGAACATAAGAACTGGACTACATTGATAGCTCTGGCTCATTAAAAGGTTCAGGAGAAACAACAGCTACTAAACAAAGTGGTAAGACAGAAAATGGGTCAAACTACTTACATGATACACACATCTGGCTCTGGCAAAGGACGTGGCTTGGGAAGGACTTCTCTCCCTCCTGTGCCCTCAGTGACTCTTCATATCCTTGCACCCTGGTTCCCTCTTCTCCTCACTATGCCAGTGTAACAGCTGGGAAGGTCCCGTAGGATCTCAGTCATCACCTTGCTGAAACGTATCTTAAAGGAAAAGAGAACAGAAATGAATATCCTAAACCATTTTTGTCAGAGGTTCTTTCTAATTCATCTTTAAGTTATCAAAGAAATATTTTGAAGCATTTCCTACTCCATAAGAATCCAGTTTATGCACGGTCCATGGATAAATAGAAATTTATCTTCCACGAGGAACATTCAACCAATGCCTTCCAAAAACAAGCAAAAATATGTAAAATCGAAATGACATACAGACAGTGATTTTTATCAGTAGATGAATTTCCATATAGTAAGGAGGATTTCTTCTCTCTGAACTGGTTAACTGTTCAGAAAACTTAGTAGTCCTAAGACTTTTATGTATGGATTTTGTTCATTGTATACCTGAAGAATGGCTTTGTCAGCCTAGCACCTCTCCAGACACAAATGTAAGGCCATGTTCAAGCTGAAGAGGTTTTTTACATTAGTGGAATCACCCCCTGTAATCACATAGTGTAGCATATCTGCCTCAAGAGTGCTGTGTAGCACCTCAATTAATCTTTGTACAAAAATTTCTATGGTAGTGCTGTAGCACTCCTGTAGTAGTAGTTAGGTAATAGGTAATAATTACTTGCTGTAATACAACAATATATTGTAGTATAGTAGGTTTTTCAGTAGTGCTTCATGGAGGAACACATATAATCCCTTCAATGACTTCCAAAGTAATTCCACAACTGCAGGACTCATTACCTCTCTAGGATTTGATTCCCGGTTTCCTCTTATGTGTGTTGTACTTGGAGAAGGTACTATGCTATTTGAATCTCCATATCTGGATACTGTTTACACTGATTTTGCTAAGGAGCAGATTCGTCTACCCACTCCCTTCCACCTAGACATTCCCTTGCATGATCCCACAATTTACCTTGTTAAAAATTATCGTAATTCTGAAGACAGACCAAATACATTTTTACATATATTGCATAAACCTCTGCCTGTGTTCCCTGGTAGAGTCACAGGCTTCCAGCACTGCCTTTGAAGCAGATTGCTGATGTTAAGGGTCAAGGCTGACTGACTGCCCTCCTGTTTGGGAAGCATCCATTGATACCTGAGCTAACCTTTGCCATATTGCACTCTGGACCCTTCCCACTCTGCCTTTCACGGGGCAAGCTTTATGGAAAACACTGTGGACACAGCTGAGATTCCAGCAAGCATTATTTAACATGTTTCTCAGTATTGAGGGATGTTTGGCCCCATTGCTACAGCCAAGTCCCATGTGAAGGCTAGGAAGGAACCTAGCTGAACCCACTGGGTACTTGTAGATGAGAGATATCCATGGAAACATTTTGAGCCTTCTCCATCAGACTATGAAACATATCCCAGTTATTCAACCAGTCAAGCTTCCACTTTGGTTTGTAATGCTGTAGGCAAAGCAAAGTGAGCCATGAACTTTACATGATGACTGTAACAAATATCTTTGATCTGGATCTAACAGGTGCCCACTTATAATTTCTCTTATTCCTTTTAATTGTTGTTAGGAGCTGTTGTTTTCTTTAGCACACACCATGATTATATACTGAAAGAAGAGCTGGTGAAATGCTTCCTGGCTGAAATTCAGTAGTGTGACCTGGAGGATTACAATGCAAACTCATTGCTCCAAAGCTGGGTCAAACCAGATCAGAAGATGTTGTTTTATGTCTGGCTCCATCTAAGTACCATCACTTTTGTTATTGATGCTCCTCTCTTCTAAGCAAGGAAATTAAAAG